ATCTTCCTTCCTGGTATTGTAGTACTTTAAAGTTTTCTCACCGGTGAATGACACATGATGTAGCCCAGCGGTTCCCAATTCCTGTCCTCGCGCCCCCCAGCTCTGCATATTTTGCATGTCTCGCTTAGTTAACACACCCGATTCAGATAACCAGCTCCTTAGAAGTGAGCTACGTGCATGAACTGTGTTCCGATCGATATGATCCCTACACAGTGTTCATTGCTCCCTACTACCTGAGCAGGGGAAATCTGTTGAAGTTTACTTCACTTCAGAACATTCATTCACGGATCTGCGCTGCGCAGCGTCTTCACACACATCACATTCACTTTCAGTGCTATCAGGCTAAAGTTAGCATTTTCCAAGATCTCCTACTGCACCTTTAAGTATGAAGGGGTTTCAGGCACTCTATTGGATGTTGTGCCAAACTGCTTCCTACTTTAAGCCCAAAGTATAGTTCATTTTTGACACGAACACTTAGCATTTGTGTACAGCAGAACACAGGGCCTTTCAAAGTATACTCTATTTGACAGTGTGCACGAACACAGATGCTTCACACATGCGCATTACAAAGTTTCATCCCTCCCCAGTGTCTGCACTATTTCTCTTAGAAGGTATTTGCGATAAAAATGTCTTTGTGCACTTTTAAACTAGAGTTGCATGTATTTCTTAACACCCGTGATAATATTGATAACCGTGATAACTTTAGTCACTATAATCGTGATATGAAATTTTCATACCGTTACATCCCTACCCTCACATAAGCAGGTGTCTATAGTTGATGTTCCATCTCATCCGTTTTGTTTTGACTGTGAATCAACAGCCCAAGTGTCGCAAACTAACTAATAATTAGTGCAAAATAATTCAAAGACAGTTAGAAAAATCTGTCTGCATGTGTACTATGCTGATGATGCACTGTATGCACACATTAATGTAAAGGTAAACATACTTTAGGCTTAGCAATGAATACATTCATAACATAAAATGACTCTACTGCTTAAATAAAAACTATGTGCACTACACTGATTACTCTACAACAACTAACACTCTTCTATGTGACACTAGTGAATTTGTAACTAAAACTGACATTAAGAGCTTTGAAAAGAGAGATTCAGAGCACCTGAAAGTATAATGCATAATACTGCAAGAGAAGAGATAAAAGTGACAGATGAGATGACAGTGAGGCTATACAGCTGATTCACACAACAATCAATCATGCTGGCTTGTTTCATGCTTGGATACCTTTGCAGCAGGAGCTTTGCGCTTCACTGCCGTCTTCCTTTTATTCTCACTTCCAGAGTCAGAATCATTACTTCCTGTTTCAGCTTTCCTCGGTACCACCGCTTCCTTGTCATCTTCCGCATCACTTCCCGGCGCAGGTTGTTCTTTTTCGCTGTCCGATGATGATGCAGGCTGAACAAATACAAGGAAGATGTGACAAATCAGCATTTGTTGTCATGAACCAACAGATGATTATGGACAGAGAAATTAAGTCTTACTGCAGGTGTGGTATAGGAGGCATGAGGGTTGTTTTGGATTTCCCACAAGCCTTCATTGAACCCTTTCCTTTTGTTTGGTTTCCCATATCGGTCTTGGTTCTTTTCATACGCAAAAAGGTCCTTGGGTGCAAGGAATGCTCTGAAAGGATGGAAAAAGTAGATTAAACCAGTATTATACCGTTGTGTGAAACAGAAGTAGCGACAGATCTGTTCTTCTGTATTGTGACGTACATATGAGTGTAACGAATTATCAAAAAAATGTAGGATGTAAATTTTGTTCTATGCATTGCAGTTGATTGGATTTTAGGATGTGAGCATTACACTCATTTTTAAGGCATTTTGCTTAAACATTATAAAGGTTAAAATTCATTTTGACCAAATGAAACTGTACAGATGAAGTGTTTACAAAAAGATCCAAAACATGCATTTAGACAATATAGAGTGGTTTTTCATTGCATGCTGACTTTAATATATGAAAGAGTCTACAACATTCTCAGATCGAAAAATATTGAAAAGGGGAAACCAAATATGGTCTAAAAAAGGTTCTTCTAGTGCCACCTGTTCCTCCATAACAGTTCTGACATGCAAGGCCCCACCATGCTTTTAAAAACACTGTGATTATTAATCAACATCAACATACAGAATTAAAGAGAAAAAAATGAGGTAATGCACACAGCTCATTACAAGTAATAAGCATCCATCCATTTATCATAATGAACAACCTGGTGCTCATTAGAATCCAGTGATACGTACGTTTCATGAGTCCCGAAGAAAAAGATAGGGATTTTATTAGGTGGTGGTTTGACAGCCCCATCGGCAACATCTTCAATCTGGAGGAGAAATACCAAAATAAGGTGATTACATGTTCTTCAGAGCTTCTGCAGCAGAAATGTGAAGGTTTATAGAATTAAACACAAATTAATAAATGAGTTTTCTACTTTGCACTGAGCAAGTCACGTGCAGTAAAGCACCTCCATGTGTAAACACGACAACTCAACCCCCCCCATTGCATTTTACTTGTTATTGAGCCAAAGCAATATAAAAGTCTCAAGTCTAAATGTAGTAATGATTCATATTTCACCCCATTATGTATCTAAAGACGATTCCCGATGTATAAAATACAAAAATAAACAAAACTTTGCGGACACGCGAGCTTTGCTGCTCCTACAGCAAACAGATTAGCAAGCCAGCTAGCCTCATCCATTCATTACTAGGGTAATAAAACGGAACAAATACATTAATTAAGCTGTCTAGACTCTAAAGTAAAATATAATTCGAGTTTGTCTGCATAATATACATGTGTGTTCAGTGTTGCGTAAATCACTAGCCGCTGAGGCAAAGCTGGTCACAGCGGGGCTGGTGGGGGGTGTGCGCTGCTCTTACCCGGGCCGGCCAGTGGGGATATCCCTTCATTTTAGCAAAGACAAGATCCCCGGGCAGGAAGTTGTGCGGCATCTTGTCGTCCCTCTATGCGCCGCTCCTCGTTCTGCTCGTTTGTGGTCGTCCGCGGTCCGTTTTTCAGGCCGACAGACAGTGAGACCTGGTTTTGATACAGTACGCGAGGAAAGGCGGTTGGTTTCTGCAGCGGTTTCCGCTAATTCCATTTTTTGTCAGCGGAAGTCCCGCCCCTCTTGAGAACGATGATTGGAGGAACGGACTGGCACTCTTTACGTCCACCAATAAGACTGTACAATGTGTACGCCGCTAAAGACTTCAGTTCAATCGTAATATATTAACATTCGCTCCGACGGTGTTAAAAATGAAATTGAGAAAACATAAAAAATAATGTCATACTTTTTTTTTTATTAAAACACATTCAAAATGCATTCAGTGGAATGTAACTGCTGCACCTTTATGAAAGTATTTTTTCTCTAAAAACATTATTATATATAATCTACTGAAAACAGGAATGAGAATCGTAAGGAATGTAACGATTCTGATTCTGCTTCGGGTTCCTGCATTTAGTAGTTATTTGAGCAGTTTTTAGTATATTTTAGTAGTTTTGAGGAATCAATATTTTGTGGAAAAAATATTTGGCATATACTCACTCTCGCAGTTGTTTGCCAAATATGAAATAATTAAAATGTAAAAATTTTAAATAAAACCGTAAATATTAAGCATATGTATTTATTTCTTGCAAAATGTTTGTTTCACAGACCGTATAATGACATTTTACATTTTGAGGCACTCCAAAACTGGTCTTAACGATGTATAATTTAAAAATACAAAACATATTTCGATAACATTTCTTTCATCAATTTAAAAAATATATATATATATCACAGATCTTTGTTTTTTATTGTTATTAATGAAACAGAAATGCTATGCAAACACCTTCAGAAGAACATTAAAGAGCAAGAGGGGAAAAACATAAGCAAAGTAAACAAATCAATGAATAAAATAAACGAAAATAAAATGAATAAATGTTAAATAAACAAATAAATAAAAATAATTAAAAAATTACACCTTATAAAAATAATCGTCACAAAATTCTCATAATAATGTTTTAAGAATCTGTCACTCCTCTCCACTTGATTTTTTTTATTGAACATATATAAAAGGTAAATACACACATTTACAGGTCAAAACAGATTACAACAACAATAAGAGCTATAATATAAACAATTTACAACGAACCTGGAAAAAAAACAAAAACAAAACATTAAGGGGTAAGGAGAAAAAAAAAAACACATTGCTAAATCCCTGCCTCCCTCATACATACAACATGCACAACATATAGATTTATGTAGGTTATAGATTTATTAGAAAATACTTGTCTTTTAGATTCTTGTTAAGAGTTATGAAAACCAAATAAGACATCCTTAAACACCAAAGGAAATTGTCTAAGATAGAAACACACAGTACAAAATGTCTTCCAGAAAGAAGCTACATGAACACAATCCCAAAAAACATGACGGACAGACTGATCTTCCACTCCACAGAAGCAGCAGATAAAGATTTTTTAAGATAAAGATTGACAGGCTAAAATCAGTGTAGCAGCTTAAAAGAGATCTCTTTATCCTTCCCCTCCGCTTGGTGTCGCTAAAACCCAATATTTGCGTTCCGATCGCTTTGAGAGCGTATTTCCGGTTGAGAGTCCGTCCTCTTCCCGAGGTAAACACATCGCTTGGGTGGTGGTGTGTCTGACAGTTATAAATAATTAACAACAACAACAACAAATTTTTCATTTTTTTAAATAACATTTTTGCACATAGTTTATCGCTAAGAATGAAGAAGTTTTTCGACGACATCAAGAAGGATATAAAATTCAAGTCAGCAGGACCAGGAAAGAAACTTACAGATGACCGCAGGTAAAAAGATCAGATGTTAATGAGATCTGCCATGACAACCACACTTTTACATTAAACGGAAACTTAATTAAACAGTGAGTTTACATGATCAGATCACGACACATCGAATAGCGTGTTTTCTTATGATAGATTTTTAGCATTTGAAACTGTTCAACGTGCAAGTTAGATATTATTTTACACCTGAAATCTACTGCAATGTACAGAAATCCGAACAACGTGCATCTATACCTGTCGGACTGCATTCATATCTGGAGCTGACGCATGGAAACATGTATAGTATGTGCTAAATGCATCAGTGTTTTAACTACATGCAATGGGATCCGACCTGTGAGTTCAGCCTCATCGCTATAATTACTGACAGGCTTAGTGAAGGTCTGGTGTTAGTCACGTGGGAGTGATTTAACCCTGAATGCTGCTGCTCCAGTCATGTTATTGGTTACAACAGGGGTGCCCAACCCTGGTCCTGGAGATCTACCTTCCTGCAGAGTTTAGCTCCAACCCTGATCAAACACACCTGAACCAACTAATTAGGGTCTGAAGGAGCACTTGATAATTACAGACAGGTGTGTTTGATCAGGGTTGGAACTGAACTCTACAGGAAGGTAGATCTCCAGGACCAGGGTTGGGCACCCCTGGGTTACAACAATGGTTTCAAGCACAGAAGTGAGTGGGTGATGTCTGGTTTCTCCAGCAGCTCTAAACCTCAAGCGCCAAAGGTTCCTCACGGGGCGCCCAGAAAAACACCCACCGAGGGCGCAGAGAAAGCAGGGGCCGCGGCCCTCGCCAGGATCGAGCAACAGCACCGGCCAGTGTTGAAAACGTCCCAGGATGCCATAAGGAATCAGGGTAAATTATTAGATTTTTCACTCATGAATCTGAAAGTATTAGCGAATATAGCCAGTCATTTTGTCGTTGTATTTCAGTGAAGCTCGAACTTGAAGCAGAGGCGGCTGCCACGGCTGCCAGCCTGAAGAACACTGATGTCGAGGCAAGTCTGACTAATAACGAAAATGGTTTTGCAGATATATTGACTGAAAGTGTCCGAAAATAGAGGGGTTATAGATTATGTGACTGATATTTGGTCATGTGATTTAAATATGGCAGCTACCATTAGGGTGGACCACCCTTATGCGGAATAAACCTTTTTCTAGGCTACTTATGTGACTGCAGTTTTTATTTAATGTGAGTGTACATAATTTTAAAAAATTGTCAAAAGTATTATTAATTTCTGTGTAAAACTTGTGAATAGTGTAAAAATAGCTTTGGGTACCATTTAAAGGAATAGTTCTTGTAAATTCATTTTAATGTGATATTTAAAATGAATTTGTATTTAGAAAAATTAGAAAAATTAAAACAAAAATCATCCCAAAATAAACAAATGCATTAAAATGAACTTACAAATAATATAAAAGTTTATATATATATATATATATATATATATTTATTTTTTTATTTTTTTTTTATTTTTTTTGGTCAAACAATATATTACATTTTTTAATATTTTACTCAATTTAGATAAAAATTAAAAAATATATACATAATGAAAATGAATGGGGACTGGAGCAAAATACTGGGTGATTTGGTTTTTAATTCATTTATATTAAAACATTTACATTTTCAGTGTTTCCTACCTTTCATCTGTGGAATATAGAAGTCAGTTTTTTTCAAATATTATTTTCATAAAATAATATATTAAAATATTTTAATTAAAAGCCTGATTACATTTTAATATAAAATAATGCAATTAAATAGCTGCAGAATGACAATTGAGTATACCGTCTAACTATTTGTGAGGAATAGTTTTGTGAGAAATTTAAGCTATTATTCGATGAAATATTTGGTAATTTTGATAGCTCCAGTCCCCGTTCACCTTCAAAATATGCATAAGAGCCTTTTTGGAGGCCAGTACATCCTTCAAAATGCTTATTTTTGTGTTCCATGAATAAATGATGACAGAATTTTCATTTTTGAGTGGCCTGTCCCTTTAAGATTTCAGATCCAGTACAGGCTCATTTCAATAGCAGCATTACCCTTTTCCTGACCGTATTGATTTGTACCTTTTCAAGGGGTCTGGTGTTCCGCAGAAGGATCTGTCTTGTTTCTCAGTGTCGGGAGTTTTCTTTATCTGTCCTCTCACTGGAAAAACCTTAACAAAGACCGAAAGAGAAATGCACATAAAGGAGGCCATTCTGATGGTGAGATTATTACAGACAAAATCTTGATGACTTTTTGAAGAGCTTACATGTAGATGTTCCTGAAGGTTCTTCTTTCTTCACAGAGGTTCTCAGAGGATGCGATAGAGGCCTCCATTATGATGATTCACACCTTTAATAAAGACAAAGAGAAAGTAAAGGCTGCAGTTGACGTCATTAGCAAGTGAGGACTATTTGAACCTTGCGCAACAATATCTGAGTGTTTGTGTAATGTTTAACTGGAACCTGTAATGCGTGGACAGGTACGTCGAAAACATCTGTAAGAATCCGACTGAGGAAAAGTACAGGAAGATCAAACTTAGCAATAAAGTGTTTCAGGTATGAGCATTTTCACTGCCAGGATCGAGAAAAATGTCAATTCAGACAGCAAATGCACTTATATTTTGTCCTTTTATTTATGAAGGAGAAGGTCAGTGGGATTGAAGGATCTCGGGAGTATCTCCAGGCCTTGGGATTTGAAAGCACCCTGCTGCCAGTAGATGGCGAAGGTAATGTGTAAATAGTGTTATATTTAAGGGTAAAGTGTGCAATATCTTTGACGCCAAGTCCTCACATGCTCTCCGTCTGAATAATGTCTCTCAGACAGGACTGAGGAGTTCCTGGTGCTGCCGGCGCAGGAATCGGAGGCTCTGGAGCAGATGAAGGCTCATTTGGAGCGGCTGCAGAAGGGCGAGCCGGTCAGAGCCAAGCTGGACCGTCAGATGCAGGTCTTCAGACCCTCAAAGCACGCCACACACTTCCAGCTTCCCCCAGACTTCTACAATCTGACTGCGGAGGAACTGAAAAGAGAACAGCAACTGAAGTAAAGAAATGAACAACAGTGGCGTTTGAGCTGTCTAAGCTAATAAAAGCCTTACCGTGTTTTTATGATCTTCCTTCATCGCAGGAGTGAAATCGTGGAGAGAAACACGATGCTGCGAACCAAAGCCATGCGTGAAAAAGATGAGCAGAGGGAGAGAAGAAAGTACAACTACGTGCTTCTGAGAGTGCGGTTACCGGATGTAAATAGTGTACAAAAAGTAATAATATAAAATTGAATTAAAAATGAAATTAACCTATTTTATTCCGTTGTTAGGCATTTTCCACGTAATATTTAACACATTGATATAATATCTTTATTAATGGAAAAATAAATATGTATTTAACATTCTGTATTGTAATATAGTTGTAAACGGCAAAGCAAAAATAGTGTAAAAAGTAAATAAAATAAAAAAAATTATATAAAACATTATAAAATTATATTAAACAATTATTGTATTCCATTAGCAGTCAGTTTAACCAAATATTTTCACTATACGGTTTAACATATTTATATTTATAAATGATTTTTGCAATATAGTAGTAAACGGAACAGGAAAAAAGTAAATAAAAACAAATGATATGAAATTGAAAAGTATTCTTTTGGCAGCCAGAACCAAATATTTTCCCTATAATATTTAACACGTGTATACCTTTTATAAATGAGAAATATATATTTAATATTATTGTAATAAAGTGTTAAACAGTAGTTTAAAAACTGTAAAAGAAAAATTTTAAAATGTTTAAAAAATACTTTTGTTAAAAAATAAAATAAAAACGAATTTAAAAAATGAGATTAATCTCAATTATTTTATTCTATTTACAGCTATATTTTAACCAAATATTTCCCCTATTTATTAAAAATTCATATTTACCATTTTATATTGTAATTTTGTGTGTGTGTATATATATATATATATTTATTTCTAGATTTTTAGGTAAGGGGTCTTTCAGAGGGCTTTGGCATAAAATGTTTGAATGAAACCCCATGATGTTCTGGAGCAGATGAAGGCTCATTTGGAGCGGCTGCAGAAGGGCGAGCCGGTCAGAGCCAAGCTGGACCGTCAGATGCAGGTCTTCAGACCCTCAAAGCACGCCACACACTTCCAGCTTCCCCCAGACTTCTACAATCTGACTGCGGAGGAACTGAAAAGAGAACAGCAACTGAAGTAAAGAAATGAACAACAGTGGCGTTTGAGCTGTCTAAGCTAATAAAAGCCTTACCGTGTTTTTATGATCTTCCTTCATCGCAGGAGTGAAATCGTGGAGAGAAACACGATGCTGCGAACCAAAGCCATGCGTGAAAAAGATGAGCAGAGGGAGAGAAGAAAGTACAACTACGTGCTTCTGAGAGTGCGGTTACCGGATGAAAATATACTGCAGGGTGGGTAGTTTTGAACTGTTATTAAAGTGTTAAACAGTAGTTTAAAAACTGTAAAAGAAAAATTTTAAAATGTTTAAAAAATACTTTTGTTAAAAAATAAAATAAAAACGAATTTAAAAAATGAGATTAATCTCAATTATTTTATTCTATTTACAGCTATATTTTAACCAAATATTTCCCCTATTTATTAAAAATTCATATTTACCATTTTATATTGTAATTTTGTGTGTGTGTATATATATATATATATATTTATTTCTAGATTTTTAGGTAAGGGGTCTTTCAGAGGGCTTTGGCATAAAATGTTTGAATGAAACCCCATGATGTTGACAAACAGCTCAAATAGCCTTTTTTTAATCAAATGTGAGTTTCACATTGATGCTTTTAAACCTTCCAGAATGCTTTGCCCCATAGATGTGTTGTCTTCTTTTGGCAAACTTGTTCTTCAGCATAAATTCAATTTGAAATGCTCTGCAGGCACTTTCCTGGCGTGGGAGAGGGTGGCAGCGTTGTACCAGTTTGTGCGTGATTCTCTAGAGAACGGCTGGCAACCCTTTGAGCTGATGGCACCTGGAGGACAAAAACTGAAGGATGAGGAGGAATTGGCTCTGAATGAGTGCAACCTGGTAGGTCAAGTTCAAACAACGTCTACAATTTTAATTCATTAAAAAATGACTAATACTTGAATCATACCTTTTGTTTTCACCTTCCAGGCCCCAGCAGCTCTGCTGACCTTCTCATGGGATGCCGCAGTGCAGGCAGACATCGCTGCAGCCGGAGGAAAGAATGTTATTCTGCTTAAAGCAGCACTGTTAGAGAACATCAAGACCCTGAGCTGAGCATTTAGTCTTGCTGTGTCTCCCCGGTCACTGCTGTCCCTGCCTGCGCTCTCTCGCCACTCCTAGTCCACCACCACAATCCCACACGGTTTCACAGGATGAGCTCGATACATTGAGTGTCCACGGCATGTGCTAGGTAGATTTATATGGTGCTAAACACAGGTTTTCCTGTCAGTGATGTTATGTGGAGTGTTAGCACCGTATGGGCCAATTTCCAAACAATCTGTTCTGTTCTAATGCATTGTTGCTTGAGGTATCATGACCAGTCATTATATGATGATGGAAGATGCTGGAAATGATTGGAAATGGTCTTTAAGAGGATCTCTTGTCGTTTAAAGCACTTTTTAGCTACTGCTGAGAGAGAAATGTCGACGTACCATAAAATCTCAGTGACAACAGAAGCACTGTTTGAAATTTATCTAACGTGAGCTCTACCACGTTCTGATTGTCTTATGTTTTTTATTTCCTGCTTAACATAAATGAAACTACGCATGAATGTTCTAACGCAACTTAAATTAGACAAAAAGCTCTGGTCTCCAACAACAATCTACCTCCTAATGCAGATAAAAATCCACTCATTTCATTTGTCAACATGTCAGCTAATGAATACACCCAAAGTGTATGGTGCACATGACAAATTTCATCATCCAGTTGTTGTTTTTTTTGCACTAGTTGTCCACAAGATTTCAACACTGGCCCAGCTGTGAATGTGCAAGATTTCCACTTCATTAGCCACTAGATCTAAACTAGAAGAATAATAGAGTAATAACAAAGTGCAGTAAACTGTAAAACTGTTTGCGCTACAAACATGTTTATGGTTATGATAATGTATTAAAATATGATAAATATCAGTTTGCAATATTTAGCAGCATAACAGCTAAGATAACTGGAAGTGATAAACACCGGAAGCCTTGCATTTACAAATGGTTACGTTAAAAATGACTTCCGGAGAGAAACAGCACAGACCCTAGACGATAAATATATTAACCAATAAATTAATATATTTTGAAAGGCTATGTGATGGCATCCAAGCTCCACCTGATTTTTAAACACAAAAGCAAACCATTTACCATCAACATGCAAGAATTTTGCTTCATTAGAAGCTAGTTAAATTATAACTAGCAGTAAAATGGTAAATTATTGTGTTCCAAACAAGTGTTTATAATTATGAAAAATATAACAAATACCAGTTTGCAATATTATGGAGAACAATGGACCGTTATTGTAAAGTGGCTGACACCGGAAACCTTGCACAATCAAGTTAAAAATGCGCCTGTTTTTGTGAATACTTTGGGTATTAGACTGATTCCGTTGCAGAAGAATATTGTCACAAGCTTGTTCCTTTATTAAACCATGCTATATTAAAAATGAACAGTGCTTGTATTTTACACTATTTTGTCAAGTTCAAAATGTTGTGTTCTGTTGCATTTGATGTATGAAATAAAATGCATTGTCGAATGTGATGCGTGTATGTGAAAAACCAAATGTAAAAGTAACTCTTGTACATGTGATCACGTTTGGAAAATGTTTGTTAACAGCATATTAAAAATTGTTCATTTTTAAATAATGCTTTATTTAAACAAGCTTTGTAGGAAACCCATTGAAGCAAACTATGGCGTAGTTTATTCGAGACTGTTTACACTTCACCAAAAGAAATGCCAATGCTGTTGTTTTTTCCCCTGTGTTAGATGGCCACATACTATTTCAGCTTCTACACCATTGTTCAAAAAAACTAAAATAGTATTTACACCACATAAGGCAGCCTGGGCAACAAATGGCATATGCTGTTTTTATACAAAGCCTCTTGGAACAAGGGAAAGACTTCTGGTGGGCTAAAGAAGTTAAGATGGGGGTAGAAGAAAAAGAAACGCAAATGGAATATAAAAGTGCAATATATTTCAATTGTCATTATTTTTGAAAGACGTACACCATTTCAAGTATTCTGAGAGAAAAAAAAATTAAAGGATTTAAAACAATGGTGCTGAGCACTGAGCCCAGCAGACAGCATCAACCTCCTGATGTGTGTCAGAGCTGATGAATGTACCAGCAGAGTCTTTACACGCTTTCAAAAAAGTGGGACCTCTCCTATGAAGAAGAGCAGTACACCATCTAGCACATCTCCACTTAAAGAACAGGAAACAAATGATTCATTCCAGGGACCTTTAACACTGTATGATCCTTCGAACTGTAGATCAGATTTTGAGTGTCTGGTTCACATGCATGCAAACCCAACAAGAAGGGGTCAGATCTCAGGCGGTGGCTGGGGTAAGGCAGGGTAGGGCAAGAGCAGCAGTTTCGGATGCATTCGTGTCCATGGGCTCCGTGTTTCTCTTGGTTTGTCGCAAGGATGTGTTGGCATCCTGCTCAGAGGATCCTATGAGGAAAAAACACATTTATCAAGCTAATTCTGGCAGATTTGTTTGTTGTCAAGCTTTAATAGCAACATACACCAACCAGATTGTTCCCCAATGATGATGCAATCATCGTCTTCATCATCTTCAGTGTCTGCTTGGAAGCCATCGGTCTCCATGGTCTCAGTCTAAATACATTGTGTAATAAACAGCAAAGTTAGCAGAAGACAAATGGGTAGTAAGCAAAAAAAAAAAACAAGTCTTCGACACTGCACCTGTTCGGAGTCGCCACATTTCTTCATGTACTTCGTGATGGAGTGGCTGCTGGCGCTTTTCCTCTTGCTGGAGGGTGTGGTGGAACAGGACGTGGTGGGCGAGTTGCCCTGTGAGCCGGCGTGCTCGTCGCGGGGAATCTGAGCGCCGGAGGTGAGGTAGGTCCACTGGCAGGGAACGGGCAAGGCCTCCTGAGAATGACGGGCCAGAACTTCCGGATGCACGTACCAGCAGCATCGTCTGTAAGTGGAGCGCTTTTCGTACACGGCGTGCTCCTTTATGATACGCCTGATTTGGATCCTTTTGCCAAATAATAAGACAATATGCTTAGAAATGTGTTTTGTGTAGCTTCATAATTCTGACATGCTGCCAAAAACACTCCCCAGAGTGCAACTGGAAGTCAATGACAACATGTTTTCCAGGCATTAGTAAAATGAGTCATTCAATTTACTAAGAAATATACACCAAAATAACCACAAATTCCATCTTCTTGAATGTCCCAATGTTTTTTTTTTTTAAATGGGGTTCTGGTAAATGCCTGAAAGTAAGGTTTGTTTTTAACAAAAGCTCACAATATTTTCATGTTTTACTATATGACATAAAATGCATCAGTAATACTCCGTGATTTCTGTAAGCTTGTATATGCCTTTAAACAGGCGGTTGCAAACAAGTGGCTAAGGGAGAGTACAGATGTTATCAGGGACATTAAAGGTCATCACAAAACAGGAAAACAGTCTACTTTTACAGCCTCATTGTTTATAATAAAGCTCTTGCAAACTACTCAAACTTTCCAATTTAGCCCATCACTAGCTTTTGTTTTTAATTTATTTCTGATTGTATTTATGCTTCAAAATTAATAAAAGTTGTGTTCATTTATGAAGATAAAAAATAATAATTAAAAAAAATAGTAAGAATTTTAAACTTGTGTTGGTCACAGCGCTTATTTTCTGCAGTAATCCAAAAGCCAATGGCAAAATCTTGTTTTGTCAAGGGAACTAGGTTGATGCTAACTTTCAGTATGACACTGTAAGCTGGTTTACCTGGGTGGGACATTGTCATTACAATTCTGAGGACTTTCTGTGGGTGAGGATGTTTGCTGGCGACAGAACTCCAGGAACTCGTTGATTATGACTTTACTGCTGTTCACATTCCCATGCAGCAAGGGCAGCAGCTGTGACAGCACTGAAGAGACGTGAGAACACATTAACATCTCAGCAATACATGTGAGAGGGTTTAACAATGCAACTGTATTAAAGGCATGTAATGAAGGCATTTTACTTTTGTTCAGGAATGCAAACAAAGCGGATAATGAAAATATTCATGTTTTGCCCATTTTTGGGTGTGAATTTTCGAGAAGGGTCTGGCTGCAGACATGCACTTGCACTCTCAGACACCTGCACTTCTGCAAGTGAAGTCACTTGCAATCTTTTTTTATTTAATTTTTTAATTCAATCTCATCATTTTACAAAAATAGCCAGGTGGGGAAGACAAGAAGCCACCTGTGACGTCACTTGCAATCAACACAAATCATGTGTGTTGCCAATGGAGACAAGACACTGTGGACACTAATTTAGTACCATAACGTACTGGGTACTGCAAGTCACCTGTAGGAGAAAAAGACAAGACCCACTAATCCTTGGCCACAGAACAGCAGAATATGAATGAATGAATGATGCCTTTATATAGCACTTTGTGTATTGCTGTACACCCAAAGTGCTTTACAATCATGTGGGGGGTCTCTCCTCAACCACCACCAGTGTGCAGCATCCACCTGGATATAACCGTATATACCGTTGTCCTGCAGCCACAGGACAACGGTGCGAGTGCGCTCACCACACACCAGCTACAGGTGGATAGGAGAGAGAGTCATAGTGCCAATCAAGTGGATGGGGATTATTAGGAGGCCATGATAGACAAGGGCCAGTGGCACCGGGGTTACACCCCTACTCTTTACGAGAAGT